CCCATCCTGTCCCGCTGGGCTGCACGGCACCACGCTGAGCGCAGGCCGAGCTTGCCAAGGACTCCCAAAACCCATCCCCACAGGCTTTTCATCGAAGGCCAGAGCAGAGGGAAGGCAGCCTGTGGGGCCCCAGCGAACAGCAAAGGATTTTCTTTGGGGGATTTGCTTTTAAAAGGTTGAATAGCCAAACCAGATCCAGCTCCCACTGACCACCCTGCAGATCCCAGCTGCCAGGCTGTGCCCGTGCTGCCACACTGGACCGAGCACCAGAAACAAAGAGCCCAGCCCAAAGGACAGCCATGTTTCCCCTTGCTGGTCCTGCATCCCCTTTGATGTACCAAGGCGTACATCTGAAGAGCTGAGGGACCACGGGCTCAGCTCCCGGCTCCTCTGAGCCCCGCGGAAGCAGCTCCTTATCTGCCACGCTGCCAAAAGGGAAGCAGGAGGTGAGGCAGGAGGGGTCCGGCCCTTACCGCGGCAGTCTCCCGCTCTGCCCCTGAGACAGTCACTGCGTCAGCGAGGAGGGGGACAGACATGTTGTTACCACACATACACCGAGAGGGACTCAGACACTGGCACCTGTGGGACAGAGGGACAGAGGTAAGGCAGGAAAATACTCCCCCCTTCTTCCCCCCCGGCAACAATTTGCCCCAGAGGGACCAGCTATTTTGGGGGGAAAATTAAAGAGCACAGGAAGGCTTTGATGTTTAAGCCCTCGGGACAGCCCTGCTCCATCTGCATCCCCAGCCTGGCAACACCAAAGAGCCAGGAAGCAGCCAACGCTTCCCACATCGCAGCACCAGATACGTGTGAGCGGGGCTGCGCGCGGGGTGCTGCAAGTGTTAAAATTAGCTCCTTCTGCTGCACCTCAAAGCCAAAGTTATTTCTGCGCCTCCAACGACGTGGGCAGAGGGCGGCTGGGCAGCACGCAGCCTCAGCATCCCTTCCCTGCTGCCAGCAGAGCCGAGGAGGAGCCTGACCCACATCTGCTCCGACAGGGAAGCAGGAAATGCCAGCCCTCGGCACGCAGCAGCACAGGCTTTATGGCGCTAATAAAAAGTCCAGCCCTCTTTTACAGAGCTGGTTTGGGATAAACCCAAGCGTTCCAGCCTGAGACCCCCTGCCAGAGCCTGCACCCCCCCTAGCAAGGCCATCCCCGTCCCTCCCCACCCCGACCTCCCGCCGCTCCGGCAGAGCTACCAGCCACCACGACACCACCTTCAGACACCACTGTCAACGCTGTACGTTCCCAACCTGGCACAAATCACCAAAACCACGGCTCCTCAGGCCCTAACCCCACTTACCGCCCAGGACTAAGTAGCTCAGCACACATTTAGAGCTCTGCCATCATCTCCCAGCTACTGCCAGGAGCCAGATTCCCGCCGCTCCGGCAGAGCTACCAGCCACCACGACACCACCTTCAGACACCACTGTCAACGCTGTACGTTCCCAACCTGGCACAAATCACCAAAACCACGGCTCCTCAGGCCCTAACCCCACTTACCGCCCAGGACTAAGTAGCTCAGCACACATTTAGAGCTCTGCCATCATCTCCCAGCTACTGCCAGGAGCCAGATCCGAGCCCACAGTCTGGTCGAGTCTTCACACCTCACAGCGAGCACTGTCCCTGGCAGGTTTTGGGCAGCACAGGACCACCTGAACCCCCCCAAGCTCCCGGTGACCCAGCAGCCAGCCTCCCAAAGGAAACAGCCTCCTCCTCTACCAGCCCGGGCCAAGACCCGCCCGACTCGTTCCACCAACTGCTCGTCAGCTGTTTTCCCCGACTCAAACGAAAACACCGGGCACAACAAGCTCCTCGGGTCGGGCAAACCTTGCGGACGCACGGCCCACGTGCTCGTGTGTACTCCAGGGTCAGAACAACCAGCGGGCAAACACGGCACCTGCCAAAAATCCTGCCGAGAGGAGCCACCAATAAAAGCATCTTCCGTCACAGACGGAGACGCCAAAACGCGCTCCCAGGGCAGACACGGACTCCGTCTCTGCCTTGTTCCTGGGGCCCGGGGCGGCGCCCACCGCAGCCAAACCACGGCATGGGAAGGACAAAGCCCCCAGAACAGCCCCGTGCTTCCATAAGAGCATCCCTCACAAAAATATTCCCTTTTTACACACCTGTGCCCGATTCGGGTTGTTCCTGAGGCGGCCCCAGAGCTGTCGCACCCCGCACCCACCGGAGCGATGCCGGTAGGACACCCCGGGCCCGGGGCGGCGCCCACCGCAGCCAAACCACGGCATGGGAAGGACAAAGCCCCCAGAACAGCCCCGTGCTTCCATAAGAGCATCCCTCACAAAAATATTCCCTTTTTACACACCTGTGCCCGATTCGGGTTGTTCCTGAGGCGGCCCCAGAGCTGTCGCACCCCGCACCCACCGGAGCGATGCCGGTAGGACACCCCGGGCCCGGCTCCG